TGGCGGAGGTGCTAGAGAAAGAGCCACTGACCAGCTGCCGCCCCCAGGAGCTGGGGACACAGGATGGAGAAGAGACACAGGCAGTGGCGTGGGGTACTGGGCCCGGTGCAGGCTCAGCTGGGCATGTCCCACCTCAGGACTCCCACACACCCCATTTCAGAGGGTGTCTCCACAGCACAGACGAGTCTGGCTCACCTGGGTCCCCCCACTCAGTATCCAACCCCCCACTGAAATGGAGCTTCACCATGAGCCCCTCCACCGCCTGCCCTCGCAGGGCCCTGCAGAGACCACAGGAGAGCCATGGTCCTGCCTGGTGGGTCAGGGCCGGCTTCCAGAAGGCTGGCTTCACGGCCAGTGTGCTGCACGGGGACCTCAGGGCCTCCCTCCAGCTCCCAGGGGGCGTGTGCCAGACTAGAACTCTCAGTCTGCCACTCAGCAGGTGCCTTGGCGGCTCCCTCACTTCCCGGTGCCTCTGTCTCCTCATCTGGCCAGTGAGATGATCACACGCCTCTCCCAGTGCCGGCGGGTCAAAATCATCGCAGCAGGCATAGTGCTGCGTGACTATCGGCCAGCACCATTACTCCAACATCGTCACCACCGCCGTGGTGGCTGGCAGCACCCATCCCCATCAAACGGCAGGGCTGGTGCCCTGGAATTCTGACAAGGCTCCCATGTCTCATGGGACTCCCAGGTCCCCTACTCAGTCACCAAGAGGTCCAACGAATATTGGCTGAGACAACCTAAGTCCTTCAAAAACCAGAGGACCTGGGAAGGCAGGGAGAACCCAACCTGCTCCCCTCCAGAGAAACGCCACGGAGAGGGGTGCTGAAGCTCCCTCCCCGAAGAACACCTCGGGGAAGAGGCAGGCAGCACCCCCACCACGGGCACCCAACCCCTGAGGCTGCAGGGCTCATCTGCTGGGCAGTCCCAGGTTTTCCATCTTCCCGTGGTGCCTGGGGAGGGGCCCGTGTCACGGTGGAGGGAAGGGACTGTGTCTGCTCACCCAGGAACCTACAAAGGAGAGAGAAGCATGGACAGTGTCCCAGTGCAGCTGTGAGGGGAGTGGGGCTGCACAGGGGCCTGTGTACTCCATGGCCTGGGATTCTCGCCTGATCACAAGGCCTGAGCTCCCAGGGTAGGTCAGAAAGAAGGACGGGACCACAGAGGTATCCTGGGCGCCCGTGGTGCCTGGAGCACAGGGCAGTGGCTCCCCAGCCCACAGTCAGTGACCCAGAGTCCCAGACGTCTGTCCCACCAGCAGCTGCCGGCCACACAGAGGCAGCGGGTAGAGGTGGGGGTGGTCTCAGCTCACCTCCCCGCCCAGTTAAAGAGCTGCAGACTGTGTGCTCACAGCACTGGCCCACCCAGAGCCCCGGCTGCACACACCTCCCGTCTGTCACTGAAGCCGTGTCGGGCCCACCCCAGGCCTGGCACGCCCCTGTCCGGGTAGACTGATGAGCCATGTCAGTGGCTCCACAGACCCAGCCACAGACAGAGACGCTCAGCTGGTGGCAGTCACTGCACTTCCACTTCACAAGATGGGCTGAGCCTGAGGCTGCCGATGATTCTGCTCGCTGCCTTGGGGCGGAGAGGAGTCTCAGAGTTAGCACCTGGGCACCCCTGTTTATCCCAGGGTTGTGGACCAGGCCTGTGGGGGTGGCAGGGCAGTGGATCTGCCTGGCACAGAGGCTGTCCCAGGATACGAGTGTAAATCTCCCTCCCCGGCAGGGCCCAGGCCATGCCACGAGCTCCTTAGCAGCCGCAGCTGATCCACGGAAGGGGCGAACCCCGGAGACAGGTGCTGTCTCCTAACTAGACAGGCAGGGACCTCCTGCCCCGCTTGCTTTCTGCCATCTTTCTGAGAGAGGCAGAGCAGGCAGGCACCATGCCCCCATGCTGGGAGTCTCTGCCTGGAACAGCAGTTCCAGCAGAGCGAAAAACTCACCAGCAAAGCCCCACCAACTCCCAGGCACTGCAGACACCGAGGCTAAGGAAGGACATCTACGGTGCAAAGAGGGGCACGTGTCCTCCCTGCTATGGAACATTCTAGGGCTTCCCGGTGCCCCAGTCTGGCTGAAGGATAGAATCTCCTCCTCCATAATCTAACCCAGAGGTCTTCTACTAGCGGCTGGGGGTAATTTCAACAGCAAATATGAGTTGTACGGCTTATACGGCCTTTAGTTGTTTTGTTTTTATTTTTCCATTTTTTATTTTCCGTTATGTGATCTAACGTTTAAAATCTGGCAATTTCAATATAAAACTATAGATTTCCATCTCCTCATCAGAACACCTAGAAATTCAGGGCCACTGGCCAAGTGTTGGCTGGAGCTGAGAAGGGGCCTAAGCTCTGCAGTTAGCCACAGGCCTCACCACTCCCTATTGCCTCCCACAGACAGTGAAGTCAAGTGTGAGTTGTTATTTATCGAGTTTGCACGTCTATTTTTCACAGGGTAAAAATAATCTCTATTTACCCATCAAAAGTGAGCAAAAGAAAGAGGGTCACATAATTTTCTCCATTTCTTCATTCATTTACGGCCCTGGGAGGTACCAGGACCCCCTCGACTCCAAAGACTCGTGCTCCCTGCTGTTCCTGAAGACACACACTGTCTCCCACGCTCTCTGCCTTTGCACCTGAGGGCTGCTCCTCAACCTCCTCTTTGGGGCCCTTTATTCTGTGGAGTCTTCAAGGATGTGCCCCTCAACGCCGCCTCCCAGGGAGACCTGCAGCACTGACTTGAAGCCACCTGTTTACAAGCAGCATGGAGCTCCCTATGCCTGCACACAGTAAATGCCCAATGGACGGATGAGTCCGCAAGCCCAACACTCACTCCACTGGACAATCACTCTGCCGGGGCACAAGCCAGGCCACCACAAAAGGACACGCAGGGCATCAACACCCCCATCTTCCACCCTTCCTGGCAGCTCAATGCTCAGCCTCAATGCCCCCACACAGGTCACGGGAGGGGGACCTGGGAAGCCCAGCGAGAGAATGCGCATTCAATAGGTGCCCAGCAGACGCCTGAGGATGTTTTCCAAACACATCTCGAGGCCTTTAGCCACCCCCCTTTGCCACAATCCCCACCGCTCCCTGCTGTCTCTCATGCCTCACATCTCTGTGCTTCCTGCCTGGCACTTACTTGAGTTTTTCCCTCTCAGTCCAGAAAGTTCCTGAATGCACTTCAAGTTCAAAAACACCACAGCATGTGGTGGCTCACACCAGTAATCCTGGTACTTTGGGTGGATCACCTGAGGTCAGGAGTTAGAGACCAGCCTGGGCAACATAGTGAAACCCTGTCTCTACTAAAAATATAAAAAATTAGCAGGGCGTAGTGGCACATGCCTGTAATCCCACCTACTTGGGAAGCTGAGGTATGAGAATCGCTTGAACCCGGGAGGCAGAGGTTGCAGTCAGCCAGGGTCATGCCACTGTACTCCAGCTTGGGCGACAGACCAAGACTCCGTCTCAAACACACACACACACACACACACACACACACACACACACACACACCCCACAGCTACATCTTTGGAATCCACAGTCTGCGCCGCTCATTCTTGGTTTGACATATCTGTTAGACGGGCAAGCAGATCGGTCAACTCTGGCTACAGAAAACTAGACAGGAAAACCCTCTGTGCAAGCCAAACTCAGCCACCCTTCCACAATCCCTGCAGGTGAAGACCAAGCTCAGCCCCCAGCATCGTGGCCGGATGTCGGGAATGCGGTGAGGGGTGGCTCGGGGAGTTTCTTAGGCTGTCGGGAAGTGGCTGTTTCACAGCAGACACTGGGATCCCCCCCAACCCGTGATGGCTGCTCTCTGCCCTGTGGGTCTCAACCTCTGAGAGCCTGGGAGAGGGAAGGCGGGCAGCTCTGGGGAGGGGCTAGGGGATGCCAATGTAGGGAGTACCCACCTAGGAAAACCTTGGGGTCCCCTTATCCCAGCTCATGCTATTCTTGCCCTTCGTCACTCTCACTGGGCCCCTCGGCCACTGAGGCTCCCAGGAAGGAAATGCCTCGACTGACTCCAATCCAGCAGCCATCAGAGTGCCCACTGCCTCCACCCGCCTCCTCCGTGCAGCGCTTCCAGCATCTGCTCTCAGCTGATGCTTCAAGAGCCCAGACGCAAAACAAGTTCTCCCGAACACCGAGTGCCCAGGCCCCCCTTTCAAAGGTGTGCCACTGAACCTCTCATCTCTACCATCATTTACTGAATATTTTCTCAGGCCAACTCCTTTTTCCTCTAACTCGGAGGTCAGCAGACTTTTTCTACGAAGAGCCAGATAGTAAACATTTGAGATCCTGTAGGCCATACACTTTCCGTGATGACTCAGCAACTCCACCAGAGCAGCAGGGATGCTGCCATGGTAATATGTAAACAAACGGGCATGGCTGTGTTCCAATAAAACTTTATTCACAAGAACAGATGGTGGGCCGGATTAGCCCCAGCGTCCCAGTTGGCCAGCCCCTGCTCTAGCGTAAAGAACCTTTCAGTCTCATTCCAAGCAACGACGTCAGAAAACACGGGGAGCTGAAGTACTGGCTATTTTTTCTTTCAAGTATGCGTTAAGATAAACACGCACAACCATTCACATTTTAAACACGTGAAGTTTGTGAACTACCCCAAGTCATCCTGGGAAGCCCTTACTTTTGGAATGCGGCCCTTTAGGCAGAGATCACAGGTCACCCAGCCAGGAGTCTGGGATTTTGCAGGCTGAGAAGGCCTGGGGCTATTTCTCCCCAGCTCTCTTTCTGGCCTCTAGGGGAGGCTTGAGATAGCCCGGCAGGGTGAGCCCCCCAGAGGGGGGTCTCCCCAGACCTGCTGCCACCATGAAGGGGAGCCCGCAGTCACACTGCCATGGCCAACAACTCCAAGGACAATGCGTGGAGACGGTTACCTCCAGCCACACGGGGCGCTGGACACGGAGCATGTGGCCGCTGAGCCTGCAGGGAGCCGGACCCCAAGGACAACCCCCACGCCCCGCCCCCCCACCTCATCTCTTACCTGGCTCTTGCCGCGGCGCCGATAGCTCCGCCTCACCAGGCTCTTATAGTTCTCATTCTTCTTGGTCAGGTAGTAATAGAGGACACACTCAGCCACCGTCTGTGGAACAGAGAAAGGGGACGCTGAGCAGGATACGGCATTCAGAGCAGGAGCCAGGAGGCTGGGCTCAGATCCCAACTCCTCCACGTACTGGCTAGGTGACCTCGGGCAGATGACCTAACCTCTGTGTCTCAGTTTTCTCATCTGTAAAATGGGAATGCTAATTGTACATACTTCACAGCGTTATCGCAAAGATCAGATCAGTTAATACGTAGGTAAAGTGCTTGGGACGAAGCCCGGCCCGGAGTAAACAGGAGGGAAGTCCTGCCTGCTATCACGATCGCCGCTGTTGCTACGGTTACTCAGAGTGCTGACGTCACCTTACATCACCCCCAGCCCTTATGGGAAGTAAGGACTCCAGCCCACAGCCGGGCAAACTCAAGGCCTTGCCCAAACACGGGTCCGGGCTCTCCCTTCCTTGGCATCAGCCTCCTGCAAGCCTTGTGTGTCGGGACCACCCCGTGTCCCACAGGCCTCTTCCTGCGTTTCCTTCTTGTTTCTGCCTCCGTCTTTTCTGTGTAGACTGGGTCTGAAAGCCAGAGCAGCCAGCCCTCTACAAATGCCGGCCAAATGGGGCCAGTAAGAGAGCAGCCTTAGAAAGTAATGCCACAATGTCCCCACCTGCGGGCCTAGAGCCCAGCTCGCCAATGCCCACAGCCATTCCGCCTACAATGTCAAATGTTTCTGCAACACTCTGGCCAGTGCCGAGCCAGGACCTCACCTCCGAGGGGCACTCTGGGAGGCCTCTGGGCTGGGCCTCCAACCTCACTGCCCTCAACAAAAAGCCCTCAGCTGGCGGCCTCCTGGCAGACACCACCGCCAGAGGGGATCCCAGGTGGCCCCAGGCTATACCCCGTCCATAGACAGGACCCACACAGCAATCGAGAAAGACATTTGATCATCAGATGCCAATATTTGCAATTCAGGGGGTGTGGGTGCCCGGCTTTTCCTTTAACAATTCAAGAGAGCTCCTTCCTGCACTCAGGAACAAGCCCAGCTCCGGATCACAGCTGCCCCAACAGACGGGCACAGACTGGCTGGTCCACCTGGCTCCTGGCCAGACGTCAGCCTCACTCACTGTCAGGGCTCGCCTGGCCCCGCCGGCCTCTCCGTTGGCAGCTCCTGCTCCAGACCCCTCTGGAAGCTCCACTGAACGAAGCCTCGTCCTCAGTTGCCTCTCAGCCAAGGGACACCATGAAGTCTACCCCAGCACAAAGCCGCCTGAGCCCCTCGTCCTGAAAGAAGACTGCTCACTGGCCAATTCCTGAAACGCCCTGCGTCCATGTCGGGGAGCCCTAACCTAGAGTCCACTGTGCTGTCCACTCCTCTAGGGAGACGTCGTCACTTACTCAGGAGACGAGCTATTTATAGGGCTTGTTTCTCCACACTGGTTTTTCAGGCACGGAGAGATTTTTCCCCACTCTGCTCCGTCCCTCTCCTTCTACGGTTATCAGCTCAGGAGGGGCAGGCGCTGGGATCAGCCGTCCTTGCAAATGACTGCCTCATCCTCCCGGCCTCCCTCCTACAACCAGGAAGCCCAAACAGGGTGTCCACCAGGCTGGGGCAGGCAGCCCCTTCTCTAGAAACATGATTCAGGGGAATGCTGCTGAGGACACAGGTGGCCTTCCACGCAACTGTCGCGGGCAGCCTTTCTCCTCTGACCCCAGGATGCTGGGGGAAGGCCCGGGGGCCACGTCCAACACACAGCCTCCTCCAGCCACCTGCTCCCCACCTGCAGCCTCTCCAGGCCCAGTGCCACCAGCCTTGCGGGTGCAGAGGAACGGTCTTCTCATTCTCTGGGGACACTGTCTACCGGCCAGCTGGAGCAGCTCCAGGCTCGGGTTTGGCACCAAGTGGGCTTTAGGCCTCACTTCCACATAAAGCCTTGTCCAAAGAAGATGGGGACTTGCAGGCCACACGTCTGGCTTGGCATTAGGGGTGTCAGAAAGCAGTCAGTGGCCCTCAGAGGGACCTAGAAAAGCTGTTCTCTCCAGTCCCTTTGAAGCGAGCCACTCCTGCCTATGAAGACGTCACCGGGACGCCACGCGAGGCAGTGCTTCCAGAACCCACCCCCAGTTTGTGAGGATGTTCCACGCAACCTTTGAGGAGCTGGCAGGAGGGCCTGTCAGGCGGCCACTGGGGGCTCCGGGAAGCCTGGCCACGTAGCTCTCCTGGGGGTTCGGGGGTTCCGGGGTTCCCAGGCACTCGGCAACCTGAGGCTCCTCCCCCAAGGGCCCAGGAGGCCAGGGCGGGGCCTGCACTGATCTCCCAGAAGAAAGGAAGGGAGGGAGCGAGGGAGGAGGGAAGCATGGCAGCCGGAGCCCGGGGCCGAGCAGGCCCAAGCATCATGGGCAGGGAGGGAGGGAGGGAGGGCCTCCACCCCAAGTCCACGCAGCTGTCCACGGAGGTGGAGACCAAATGAGCATAGGGCAGGCGGCGACTCACCTTCCTCTCCAGGAATGACGCGATCAGGCCAAAGTTCTTGGGATGCTGCATGAACCTGTGGGGAAAGACGGGCGGGCATGAGACCCGGCTGCGGGGGGCTTCCCTGCCGGGCAGCCGATCAGCTCCCAGGCGCCTGCCATCTCCACTGGCCCGGCCTGGCGGGCACCGCCCCACTCGGAGCAATTAAGCCCAGGGGGGTGTGGGAAGGGCTGCTGCAGCGGGCGGGAGGGGTGGGGACCCGGGGGTAAGAGAGGGCGTTCCTTGGAGTGAGTCACTGGCTTTAGCGCCTTTGAAAATATATTTGTTTGTCCTGCTGGAGGCGGCTTCCAGGAAAAATGAGGACATGACATACAGCTCTTTGGTGGGGTTCCCCCCCTTTTAAAATCCGCTTTGGTTTTTCTCTCCAGCTGGATCTAGGAAGCAGGGCCTTGCCCGGCCCACACGGGGTCTGCTTGGGAACACGGCAGGACGCCCCCAGCCTGGTCACGGCTCAACAGCCTGCTGGGCCTCCCCAGGAGAGCTGGGAGCAGAGGCTCTGAGTGCCCATGGGGCAGCATGAGGGGTTGGCCAGCCAAGAAGGCAGCAACTATGGACTTAAGTTGGAGGGCGGTGGCGGGGCGCTGGCACCATCCCAGCTGGCTTCCTGCGTAGCCAGGAGAATGACTGGGAAACCGCTGGGCCAGGCTGGAATCTGAGAGCCAAAGGAGTGGAGCGTGGGGGTGGGGATGTGGGTCAAGGCCTGCTCCACTCCCGGGGTGCTGGGTGGAGTCCCTGGCCCCGTCCCTGGCCCCGGCCCAGGCGATGTGCTACTGCTCCACGGCCTTTGCAGGGAGAGCAGTGGCTGCTGGCAAGGCTGGACCGTGGGCTCCCATGGAGAGAGACGGAGGGAGCACCAGCGCCCGACCTGCCTGGCCCTCCAGATGGTGGGGCAGGAGGCCAACAGCTCCTGCTTCCCAGCCTGACACCCGAGGATCCTGAACAGCCTCTGCTCTCTTCCCGGTGGAATGGCAGGCTTCCCCGGCCCAGGATCCCATCCAGTGGGGCTGGCAAGGCTGGAGCCATCCTAAAGCCCTTCTCTTCCAGACAGGGAGAGTCCTTCCCTCCCCGCTCCCTCTCCTTGTCCCAGTGACTTTCCTTCCCTGCCAACCTCTCCCATGGGGCTTCCCCAGGCACAGTGGGGGCTCCCAAGAGACCAGGAATCAAACTTGGAAATCTCCTAGGTCACCTGTTCTCTTCCCCGCAGATCTCACTTGCAGCCCCTGAAGAAGTTTATTAAAGTTTCCTATGCCCTGCGCACCTCACCACGGCTGAACAAAGAAGGCACTGTCGCTATGACCATTTTACAGAGGAGAAAACCGAGGTTCACAGGGGGAATGGTCACATGACCAGCACATGGTAGAGCCCCACGCTGTCAGCAGGTGCTTTTCAAAGCCCCAAGTTCCAACAATTCCTCTGCACATAAGACCGCAAACCAAGCCCACGCTCTCTGAGGGGTGCAGGCAGCCAAGCTGCGCTCTCACAGGGCGGAAGCTGCGCCAGCCCCACGGCCGGCAGACAGCAGCCCAGCCCGGGTCGCCCGCTCTTCAGCCACCGAATTAACAGAGGGTGGTATATCAGACCTGCAGAGCCACACGAAATCTTCCAAAAGGCTTTTCTCCCACAGAAAGCACCCAGAACACCTTGTTTTTGTCTTTTAGAAAAAATACACTATCACGCCTACCGGGGGAATTGTAATACCAAATGCAACGGTAATTCTTAACACCAGTGACTGTCCCAGCAGCACCTCCCTCGTTTAAAACTGTAAAAAGCATTTGACGGAGAATTCGATTTGATGTAGCAAGAACGGGCCTGCTATGGCGACGCTGTAGGCACGAGCCACAAGGGAACCGAGCACTCCCGCTCCGGACCCAGGCTGCTTGCCGTGCGGGACCACTGGTTCTGTGCTGTGGCACGCAAGGGCGCACGACCCCGCCCCTCTACTTTCATGGAGATTTCGACGTTTCCATCATCAAAAGCTATTCTTAGGAAATGTTTTCTGGCCAAGCGCAGTGGCTCACACCTTTGATCCCAGCACTCTGGGAGGCCAAGGTGGGTGGATCACAAGGTCAGGAGTTGGAGACCAGCTTGGCTGATGTGGTGAAACCCCTTCTCTACTAAAAATACAAAAATTAGCCAGGCGTGTTGGCATGCACCTGTAGTCCCAGCTACTTGGGAGGCTGATGCAGGAGAATTGCTTGAACCCGGGAGGCAGAGGTTGCAGTGAGCCAAGATCACGGCTCTGCACTCCAGCCTGGGCGACAGAGGAAGACTCCAACTCAAAAAAAAAAAAAAAAAAAGTTTTCCACCAAAGACCCTCCTGGATCGTCACCATGTCCTTTCTGAGGTTCAGTATCAGCACTTGTGGGTCCGCCCACCCCTGCCGGGGACCCAGAGTCACCCCATCCATCCCTCGGGTCTTGCCTGGAACCTCTTTGGGGCCACAACCCTGGACCAAAGCCCAAGCCTAGGGTGGAGACAGCCCAGCAGGGCGCTGGGGAAGGAGTGGCACTGCTTTGGAGGAAGCTCTTGTCTGGAGGCAAGGCCTTCTCCAAGGCAGCAGAGTGGCCTGCCAGGTAGACGTCGGGCAGGGACAGGGCAAAGTCTATTCCCAGCATGCCCTCTTGGCCAAGCGCGGGGGCCTCTGTCCACTCCTCAGCTTCCCACTCACCTGCCTCCCGGGGGTCTGGGGTCCTGAGGAGGTGCTCTGTGACCTGGGCAGAGAACCCAGCCCTTTCCGTGATTACAGAAAGCCTGTCCAACCCGCAGGCCGCATGCGCCCAGGACGGCTTTAAATGCGGCCCAACGCAAACTCCTAAACAGTCTTCAACATCATGAGATTTTTTTGTGATTTTTTTTTTTTTTTCAGCCTAGCAGCTATTAGTGTTAGCATATCTTCCGTGTGGCCCAGGGAAGCCAAAAGGTTAGACTCCCTGGAATCACAGCACACTGTCCCCAAAACCTGGGGTGGCTCAGCAGGGCCCGCCATCTCCTCTGGAGGGCCCGGGCCAGGAATGGAGGTCTCCCTCTGCCTGGATGTCACATTGCAGACCCTCGTTGTGGGGTCTGACCCCCTCGGACACAACTTTGAAGTCTTGGCCTTTCTCCACCTGGCACCTCCACAGTCACCTGTGCCAAATACTCCATCACTTAAGGGGTCCCCCAACAAGCTTTGCCTCTCAGAACCCAACTTCCCCCACCCCCACCTCTGCTCTGCACAGTCCCTCCCTGGCCCCATTCACAGCCCCTTCCCCACACAGACTCCTCATTTAAGCTGGGGGAGTCTGAACCCCACCTCCGCTGTGTGGCCTTTGTTCACTGTCTGAACCTCTCTGAGCCTCTGTGTCATCCCCTGTGTACTGGGGTGGGCCTGGCTGAGCTGTCGTAAGGGACAGGAGAGGGAGACAGATGAAGCCAAGAAGACATCAGCAGCGGAATCACAGACCTGCCCAGCCAGCAGCTACTATCAAAGACAGAACAAAATAGAAACTGCCAAAAAGCCACTGGCCAGCCACAGGCCCTGCTCCGGCTGCAGCCCAGCCTCTATGTCCCTCACGCCTTGTCCTTCCGACTTGCAGGGCCCCGTCTTGCACACGGCTGCCCTTACAGTTTGTACTAGGTTAAAGTGTGTTCCCAGAAAATTCATGGCCACTTAGAACCTCTGAATGCAGCCTGATTTGGACATGGGGACACTGCAGATGTGATTCCAGTGAGGTCGTATCGGGCCAGGCTAGACCCTGAATTCAGTGTGAGTGGCCTCCTTACAGGAAGAGGGAAGCACGGAGACAAAGGTCATGTGGGGACAAAGGCAGAGTGTGGATGGAGGCATCTAGAAGCCCTGGAAGGTCAAGGACGCCGGCAGCACCAGAAGCTGGGGAGATGCCAGGACAGGCTCACGGCCCCCAGAAGGAACCAACCCCGCCGACACCAGGATTTGGACTTCCAGCCTCTGAAACCAGGAGAGAGCAAATTCCTGTGGTTCGAAGCCCCCCTGGTGGATGGTCATTTGTGGTGGCAGCCCCGGACACAGTGCAGGCCTCAGCAGGGTGGGTTTCTGGGACCAGGGAGGGCCAGGAGGCCAGGCCACGGGGTGGAGGACTCACTTCTCCCGGAAGGTCTCCTTCTCCTGCTCGCTCCACATGTTCATGACCTGCCGGTCTTTGTACACCTTCATGGGGTCGGCCATGAGCCCGTTCATGTTGATGAACTTGATGCGCTGCTGGTCGGCGTCGTACAGCATGGGTGGGATCACAGCCAGCTGGCGCATCTGCTTCTCCAGGTTCTGCAGGGAGCAGAGCGCAGGGTCAGAGTGGCTGGGGGCGAGGTGAGGCACAGAGGGTACGGATGTTCTGGGCCAGGGCAGGGAAAACAAAACAAAACGCAAAACCGACCGAGGAGGAGAATGATGAGTCTAAGCGTAATAATAGCTCACTCTGGGGGCAGGGAGAACGCAAAGGCCTCCCGACAGGTTTATGGTGGGCAGGACTGCAGATTAAATGCAGAGAGCAGCAGCCGCCTTCTCGGTGGTAGGAGGGGAGCCATGAATCTTCCCCTTGGAAATGCAAGCACCATAAAACTGCAGGAAGGATGCTCAGCTCAGCTGGGCCCAGGGAGCCGGGAGTCTCCAGGTTCAGCAGGCAGGAGTGGGCTCTGGGTCCGGCAGCCCCCACGGTATGCAGGCAGCCCAGGGGCGCAGAAGAGGGTCTACCACCTCACTGGTAGAGCGAAGCATTTCCCTCCCCCGCACCCCACCCCCCTCCTGGCAGCCGCCCCTTTGAAGGGCCCACCTGGGATCCTGCCTGCCTGGCCCCAAGGGCGACAGGAGCCAGGCAGCCGCTGCTAATGCACTAGGAAGGCTATTAAGAGGCTCCCAGCCGCCACTCAGCTGGGCTCACTTCCCCAAATCTCGCAGCCAGCCAATTACTGGCGATTAATTACCCATTTCCGGAGGCAGGCGAGCGCTTGGCACAGCCAAAGTCAGCCAGTTCAAACGATCCGGCTGCCCGGCTGCCCACACCCAACCTCTTGACTCAGTGTCCAGGACTCACAGCCAGGGACCAGGTGCGAGACACAGCTCTGACCCCGGAGTGGGAGAGGAGCCCCCCAAGAGGCTGGCGTCTGTCTCCCAGACACTTGGAACTGCCCTCTCGACCCCCATACAGAACGCCGACCTTCCTCAGATGTTCCAGAGATGTAATAATGGCAGGACCCCTGGCATGGCCACAAGCAGAGTCATCCCTGGCAGGCCCTCTGCTCCGCCCTCCCACAGCTGCCTTCCTGTCCTTCCCATGCCAGGCCTGTGCTCTGACCTCAGAAGGCTCCCAGAGGGATGGCAAGTGCCTCTGCTCCAGCCCAGCACCCCCCCGCCCCGCACACTCCCGGGAACTCGGGTCACCCCAGGCTGGCTGGGGAAGTCTCTGTCCCAAATTCCACTTCCACCCTTCACCCCAGACACAGCATCCTTGACGCCCTTGAGGACTCTGATGGCTGCATTCCCATGTGGCTGGTGTGTGTGTATGTGCGGTGTGTGCGTGTGTGTGTTTAACAGTTGACCCCGGTGCCACATCCTTGGCCATCAGGTGAGGAATGCAGAGGAGAGGGCCCGGCCTCCTCCTCCCAGTGCACACCAACTGCACGTCCAACCTCTGCGGGATGCCCATGAGTGCCCGGTGTCGGCGAGGCCAGGGCTGAAACGCCCTCTCTGGTGCCCAGCCTTCGAGGGCCAGGCCCTGGCTTTCTGAGCTCTGCTTTCTGTCAACTCGATGTTGTTACAAACAAAAACATACCACGAGAAGTTTTAAAATGAAAAATTATGCTTTAATGGCCAGATTTGTCTTTGGATTGCCTGCGTCAGAAGCATGTGGGTGGCTGGGTAAAAATGCGGATTCCTGGGCTCTGCCCCAGACCAGCTAAATCGGAATCTCTGGTGAAAAACTGCAATTCAGACCAACTCCTCCTGGAGCCCGTCCCCTCTGTCTAGGCTGAGCACCAGCATCACAGGGCAGCGGTTCTGCTGCCCAACAGAGCCCTCTGCAGCCAGGGAGGGGCTCACGCCTGCTCCGTCCAGGAGGGGAGCCGCCAACCACACATGGCCGTCCAGCTCCCGAGATGTGTCAGAGGCAACTGAGGAACTGAACTGCTAATTTTATCTTATTTTAATTAATTTTGGTTTCAATAGCCATGCGCGGCTCTGCTGTGCTGAGCTGAAGAGCTCTAATGTCCCATCTGGACAAAAGCTGTCCCTGGACCAAAGTCCCCAGCCAGGAAGAAACGTGCCGCAGGTGCCTGGTGTCTGCGGTGGTATTGGGAACAGGTGGTAGTGTCATCATGGATGCCTGACCCACAGGACCCAGGACGGGACAGACTGATACCAAGCCCCTCCCCAGGAGACAAGGCCACCCCTCTGCTTCCTGGCCATCTAGGGGCCCCAGTGATGGCAGTCAGGGTCACCTAGGCTGACCCGTAGGCGTCCCAGCACCCCAGAGGCCTGAGGTTCCTGCGTGAAGGTCGTGGCTGTGTGGACAGTTGCTGTGCTAGGGACTCATCACCCTGCCCCCTGCTCCCCTCACCCCGCCAGGCTCTGGGCCCCAGAAAGCTGACCCTGGAACCCACAGGCACCCCTGCCCCTTGGGTGTCTGGTTGGGCTCAGCCAATGGGAAGTTCCAAAAGGAGGCCGGAGATGGGAAGAGTGAGAGGCCTGGTCCTCGTTCCCCAGCCTCCTCCCTGCTGTGGCATCCAGGAGCGCTGTGGCCCTTGCTGCCGGAGGTCCTGCCACCCTCCCTCTCGGACCCGCTAACACTCCTCTCTCCACTCGCCCCTGCAGGCCTGGGATGGGCCTCAGCTTGCTGAGGCTGCTAGTCCTGGATACCTCCATACCCACCTTGATTCTGCCCACACTTCGGTGGTAAGCCCCTTGACATGAGGTACCCGGGAGGTGTTTTCTGGCTGGGGCCTCTACACCCCCACAGGGGATACTGGGGAAGTGGAGCTGAGGCCGGAGCCAGGGCCTGGACTCACCTCCTGCTCTGAGAGGCCATCGATGATCTCTGACACCTCGTGCTCGCTGCGGGCGGCTGACATGGACAGCCCACTGCCCCGCTGGCCCACCCTGCTGGGGACCAAAGGGACACACTCAGGACCAGCCTTTTGGTGGCCGGGGACACTAGCAGGTCCCCTCAGCACAGCCCTGAGCCCACGCCCTCCCCAGAGGAGGAGACCGGCCCCACACTCAGGGGTCCTGGGGAGACATGGAGCCTCCACCGCAACCCAGCGACACAGGCAGCACAGTCCCTTCTGCTCTCCTAAAACGCCCTGAAAAGCCCGGCTCTGCTTCTTTGGCCCTGTGGCAAAGTGTTTCTGTCTGTGCCTCAGCATCTCCCCATCATATGAGGGTTAAAAAGTGGCAGCCATCTGCTGAGGGCTGTTGTGAGGAGCTCACTGAGATGTGGCTTGTGAGTTCAGTTAGGGTGGAAGCTGCTGTTATCACGAATGGACTGCCTTGTCTGCGCAGCCAAAGAAAAACGGCCACAGAACCACAGCGGCCTGTCACCAGACACCTCCCGACATGGGCCCACCCAGTCCCCACGGCCATTGCTGGAGCCTGGCAGCCTGGCAGGCTGGTCTCTTAGCCACATCTCTCCCCTTTGTCCCATACCAGGGATCTCAGACTCGGCCGCCTTCAGGGCCATGTGGGTCCCACACAAGAGTGAAGCTGGCAGGTGCAGGCTGTGGCACGGGGCTTGCCACAAAATGGATTTAAGTTCCAGTTCCAAGCAAGCGTTAGGCCAAACAGGCGCCCTGTAACACATGCCAGGGGCTGGCCAGGCCCCAGCCGCCAGCCTCAGAGGCGGCTGCGCTGTTCTGTCTCGCCCTGGCCGGCCGGCCCCGCTCACCTCTGCATGCGCTCCTGCAGCTCCCGCTGCTTGCGGATCTCGGGGAACTGCTTCTCGTAGTACTCGCGCACCTTGCTCTCCTTGGCCCGCCGCCGGGGGTTGTTCTCGATGCGCTCCACCTTCTTCTCCCAGGCCTCCATGAGCTGGTCATAGCGCTGGCAGAACTTCTGCTCCTGTGAGGGCGCGGAAGGGGCGCTGCGGAAGATGCTCCTGCCCACTCACACGCGGGCACACACACAGGTATGCACAAGTCACACAGACACACACGTGCAGTAACAGACATACAGATATACACACTCAGACACATACACATGCAGTCACAGACATACAGTCAGATATACACACTCACACAGGCACACACACATGCAGTCACAGACATACAGTCAGATATACACACTCACACAGGCACACACACATGCAGTCAGACATACACACAGACACACACATGCAGTCACAGTCAGATATACACACACAGACACATGCAGTCACAGATAAATATATATACACACACATGCAGTCACACAGAAATACATGCAGTCACATACAGTCAGATATACACACACACGCTGTCACATAGATATATACACTCACACAGACACACACATGCTATCACAGACATAGATATACACACTCAGACACACACATGCAGTCACAGACTACAGTCAGATATACACAATCACACACACACATGCAGTCACATACAGGTACACACACACACACCTGCTGTCACATACAGATATCTGGCTGTATGTAGTCACATACAGTATGTAGTCACATACAGTCAGATATACACATTCACAGACACACATATGCTGTCACATAGTCAGATATACACACTCAGACACACACATGCAGTCACAGACTACAGTCAGATATACACACACACACACACACACACATGCAGTCACATACAGGTACACACACACACACATGCTGTCACATACAGATATACACATTCACAGACACACATATGCTGTCACATAGTCAGATATACACACTCAGACACACACATGCAGTCACATACAGTCAGATATACACACACAGACACATACACAAGTCACACAGATATGCACATGCAGTCACACTGACATACACACAGACGGATACACACACATACAGTCATATAGACACAGTCACACAGACAGGCACAGTCACACAGGCAGATAGATACACACACAGGCACACACAAGTAACACAGAAACAGTCACACAGGCAGGACAGCTACGGTCATATAGGCAGACAGACACACACACACACACACACACACACATATACACAAGCAAATAAGATACACAGGCCCATCATTCACACAGCCAGCCAGCCAGACACACAGATGGTCACACAGGCACACAGATACATAGGTGGTCACATGCAGGCAGGCATATGATACACACACAGTCACACATGTAGATACACACTAGACACAAATATGTCACACAGGCAGGTGACAGAAAGACACACACACAGCTGCATGGATATCCAGCAGGCCGGGGCCCCTGAAGAAAACCCACAGACTTCCCCTAGAGGACATGGGCACTGCCCTTCCTGGTAAGCCGGCCACCCAGTCCTGGCCTCCTCTACAGAGGCCTGGTCCCAAACGGAAGCCACCAGTCACATGTGGCTCAACTGCAATCACAAATCAAGTAAGAGGTAAGAGCCAGGCTCCAGTTCTCCCCAGCCACCCTCCAGTGTCCAGCAGCCACATGTGGCTGGGGCTCCGGCCACACCAGACAGCCCAACGGAGCCCACTGCCACACCACAGGAAGCTGTGTTGTGCGGCACGGCGCGGGCGCCTGCCAGGCCCAGGGAGGGGCACCCTCCAGAGAGAATGGCTCTCCAGGCACTTCCTCATTCCCCAGCCTCACTCCAAGGCCCAGCTGAGAGGACCCCAGCAGCTCCCACAGAGCTCCCTCCAAGACAAGGAAGTCCCTCTCCACATCTAACCACATGCTGCCTGCTGCATGTCCTTTGAGAAAAGACCCCCCATCAGCCCGGAACATAGCTGCCTGGCTTCCACGTCTCCAAGGTGACTCGAGCAAGCAGGGAGATGTCTGGCCACCCACGCAACCCCAGTTACCCCACCTCCAAAAGCTGGGAGTGGACAGACGGTATGGCCTGGGAGCCTCCACAAATACCCTCTCCACACTTCCAAACAGTCAGAAAGCCCCTCTCTGGTCCTGGAGCCCAGACACCCCAGCGCCCCCGATCCTGTATTTCAGCTTCTGACCAAGGGCAAGCTGTTCCCTCCGTGGGTACTGTCGTGCCCACAGAGTGGTTAGGCTGGCGCTGGGCAGCCATGAACCTGACCCCATGCATGCAGGGTGTGCCAGGAACCCGCTGGAGACCAAGAGGTGGTTCTGGCAACAGATAATGGCCACACGTGCTCGGGGAAGTGGCCGTTGACAGCCCCAGTGAGGGATGGGGACTACAGGGATGGCAACATGCAGCCCACACCACCTCAGCCCCCATCCGACAGGCCGCAGGCCCTGGGTGAGAAAAGCTCGCCTCAAGCCAGCAGAGCAAAGTCACATGGTGGCTGGTACGAACCAGGGGGGCAACCAACAGGCCACTGGCCAGTGGGGACTCAGCCTGTCCACGAGGAGGGGTGGGCAGGGTGCTGGCAAGACAGTCTGGCTCTAGTGAGTCCCTGTGGAGTGCGGGGAAGGCAAAGGCCCCTAGCAGGAGCATCCATGAGGGGACATCCCACTACCTCCATGACCCCAAGCACCGGGCTCTGTCTTCTGCCCAGGACAAGAAAGTCCCCCTCCAGGTCTAACCACAGTGCTGCCTGCTGTAGCCTGTGCCTATGTCCACTGTGCCGGGTGTGCACTTGGCCAGCCTCAGCTAGCGCAGGGCAGGCAACTCCAGCCCAGCCTGGGCAGCGAGGAAGCTGCTTGCTGGGGATTTTCTTTTTTTTGTTTTCCCCCTTTTGACAGTTTCCCTCTTGTTGCCCAGGCTAGAGTGCAATGGTGAGATCTCAGCTCACTGCGACTTCCGCCTCCCGGGTTCAAGCGACACTCCTGCCTCAGCCTCCTGAGTAGCTGGGATTACAGGCATGCGCCACCACGCCTGGCTAATTTTGTATTTTTAGTATGGACAGAGTTTCTCCATGTTGGCCAGGCTGGTCTTGAACTCCCAACCTCAGGTGATCCACTCACCTCAGTCTCCCAAAGTGCTGGGCCAGCCAGGGGAAGAAGCAGACCCCTTCCTCCCTTCCCTCCCTCCCTCTCTCTGTCTTACACTTACACACACACACACACACACACACACACACACACACACGGAGAGACTGGAGCCCCCCCTCCCCCCACCAGCTAGTCTGCAGAGTGCTGGAACCACAAATCCGCCAAGGAGAAGAAGTGGGTCAGCCTTGCCTCTGGGACCACAGACTGAGCCAGCCTCTCAGCCAGTGGGCCTCCAGGGGGGCCAGCTCAGCTCCCCAGGAGACTTGGCAGGCTTGGCGGCTGTGTTGGTACTAAACACCCCGTGACAGGGACAAGCCCCTGCTCTCTGTGAAGACGTGGGTCCCAGGAATCTGCTACGGTGTGGGGGTCCCTGAATCTGAGGGGGGTCTGACTCCCCAGCGGGGAGTCAGTGGGGGTGGGACAGGTACATCGGAGGTCTTGGCCAAGCCCCCTCCCCAGGCCTGACCGAAATCAATGAAGTCAGGGGCTTTGCCTTATTATGCAACAAGAAAGACCATCCCACCATCCCGATCACCACCAAAGCGTCAGGGGCTGTTGAATTTGTTTCTGTCTCTCCTAAGAAGGGCCACGAGCCACCGTGAGCTGCTTAGAAGTCCCTGGTTTCTACCTGACTCTCCTCTAGCTTTAAATAAGCTGATTTCTCCCTCCAACCCCTCCAAGGCCCCCCAAGGAGCCATTGGAGATCTTTAAAGAAGAGCTCACGCCCACCCTAGCTCCACCTCCAGCAGGAGCTCCTTCCAGCAGCTGCAGGGATCCTTTTAAATGGAAATCAGATCCTCTCCAGACAGCCTCCAGCCCAAGGGGGGAATGGCGGGTGGGGGGCAAGATGGCGCTGAACTGGTAGTCATTTTAGGTGTGGAAATGCGAGGACTTCCTGCCTCACAGGAGGCACAGGTGGAAGTATTCATTAGGGCTGAAGGGGCGGGGCCTCTGCACCCATTTTCCAATAGTGCAACAGCAAACACGTTCATATTCGTGTTACACACACACAGCAAATACAAGGCACGGGTGACCCTGGCTGATCCTAGGTGGCGGGTATATAGGTGTTCCTTGTACACGTCTGTCAAATTTCTTAGAATAAAGACTTCGGATTCTTTATTACAAATACACGTATTAAGAATAAATGCGGTGTCCCACTGCATTTGGAATAAAAGCTGAAAGCCCCATCCTAGCTGGAGGGCAGATGTTTCCAGGTGACCTGGCTCCTGTCGCTAGCCTGCCATGTGCTGTCCCAAGCTGGCTTGAGCCTAGGAGCCTCTGCACCTGCAGTGCCCTCTGCCTGACACCTTGACTCCAGGATCTGCACAAAGCCAGTCTTTCTCGTTCCCACCTGAGCACTGAGGTCCCCAGCCCATCTCCAGAGCCCACCTCTCTGCCCAGCTCTTCTCCCCGAATTCTGGGTCTGTTTCCCGGCCTGTGCCTTCTGGGCACCCGGCACCTATGTGGGCATCTCTTAACTTCATATATAGACGAGACGCTCAGTTCATGAGCCTCTTGTGCCGGCCCAAGTGCCTGTGGGCACCACCCAGTCAAGGCAGGGGTCTCAGGAAGCTGGGCAAGGCACTGTGGGGCAGCCACCTCTCATCACCTTTGAGCAGGGCCCGGGTCCTGAGGGCTGCCCCACAGCTTCCCAGGCACCAGCGTCTGGCTAGAAGTGTCTCCTCTCTCTAGCACCCAGCCAAGGTCAGGGCCAGGGCAGGCAGGCAGGGCCAAGGGAAGACCCTCCTCCCACATCGCACCACCCCTCCTTCGAAAGCCAGGTGCAAGGACCTCCTGCCCCAGTGAAACCTGTCACCCGGCCCACATGGCCTCACACCTATCCAGGACCCCATGCCTGCCTGGTATCCCCCTCCTAGCTACTGCTCAGCCCTGCCGTGTGGTGGCTCAGCACACCACCGCATGCCATACAGCCTCCCGCATGCCCTCCGCCTAGCCTGACTGTCTCCACCCTGCACACACTTCACTTCCTGAATGCCTGATACCTTATCCTGGGCTCTCTTGGAACTGCCCCTCAGGGGTTCAGAGCATAGGCTGAGGAACCAGGTACTCTGGGTTCAAATATCAGCTCCACCACTTCCCAGCTGTGTGACATAGGGCAAGTTACTTAACCTCTCAGAGCCTCGATTTCCTCATCTGAAACATGAGGCTGAGCAAGTGCCCACCTCACAGGACTAAATGCTCTAATGCATGGAGAGCGCAACAGGCCTCGGAAGGGCAGGGTGTGAGGGGCTTCCTTCCTCATCCTCATGCACGATCTGTCCCTGGGGCCTGCAGGTCTGAGGACAGGGCCTGCATCTCAGCGACTGTGTGCCTCACACACAGTAAGTGCTCCAGGACTGCCAGAACCCAGGCCCTGAAGGTGTCGGGTCAGCTTGGTGTCCCACACGCTGTTCTGCCCTGAACCGATTCAGTTCAAGCTGCACTGTCATGACCTACTGTGTACCACAGACCTGCAGGCTGGGCATGACTGAGCCACCCCCACGCCCTGGGGGGGGCCTCTCCGGAGGCTGGTGCCCAGCAGATCTGACCCTGGGAAGAACACACAGGGAGCTGGCTCGCAGGCCCCACCCCAACACAGCTCAGGGAGGGCGGAGGTGGGGCTGGGGGACCTGCAGGTGTGAGGTGAGCCCCTCCACTCTCCAGCCAACCCAGTTCCCAGCCCTTGCCGCTTCTCCTAATCAAGAATCGCAAGGCAGCAGTTCCCATCAGCCCACCTCTTCCCCAGATGGGGACTGTCTCAGGGCCTCCCCAGCCTTATCCCAGCCCCAACCATGTCCCAGCAGCCCCGTGGCTTCAGTGGAGTCAATGATATCATCCTCCACTCTAGAGAAGGTCCCCTGAGCCAAAACCAGGCGGCCTCCTTTCATCTCCCTGGCATCAGCCACTGGTTCACAGGACCCGTGCCCTCTCCTGGCCTCATCAGAGCATCTGTGATTGGGAGGCTGAGGCAGGTGCATCATCTGAGGTCAGGAGTTCAAGACCAGCATGTCCAACATGGTGAAAGCCCGTCTCCACTAACAATACAAAAATTAGCTGGGTGTGGTGGCACACGCCTGTGACCCTGGCTACTCGGGAGGCTGAGGCAGGAGAATTGCTTGCACCCAGGAGGCGGAGGCTACAGTGAGCAGAGGTCGCACCACTGCACTCCAGTCGGGGACAGAGTGAGACTCCGTCTCAAAAATAAATAAATGAAATGAAATGAAGGCAAGACTTGACTTGAAAGACTGAGAGTTCCTGCAACCCACCCCCAGTAGCGCCTCCAGCTGCACCATTCCTCTCCTGTCCAAGTCCGCCTGAGTCCACACTTCTTCCCCCCACCGGCTGGGAGAAACACTCAAGCCTGATCTCCTCCGGGAATCAGTGATGTCCATGGTTACCCTAACCCCCCACCACAGGCATCTGGCACACCCAGCCTCGCCGCTGTGGGCTGAAATGCGGGAGTCAGCACCCTTTTCTGTTTGGGTGAAGCCTCTGCCCACGAGCGCAGGCTCAGGGCACTAGGAAAGGCTCATTTGTAAGTGCACAGCCTGCGGCCCCTACTGCCCAGCATAGCCCCCCTAATCCTCTGCCTCGCTCCAAAACCTCTCTTTCTGCAGGAAACACCCAGGACAGGTCCTGCGACTCGAGCTTAGTGACCCGTTCACCAGGCCAACAGTTCCCTGGAAGGGAACGCGTTTCTTCCCTTGCAGGCTGGAAGAGGGGCCACAGAGCGCCCGCCCCCACCCTGTGGCCTTCTGGAAGCAGCTGCTGTCCTTCCTCCTTTCCTGGCGGCCTTGGCTTTTCCTCCATGGCCTGGACGCTCAGTGAGGACACAGGGAACCTGGATCGCGTGGGCTCAATCCTCCCGGATCTCAGGAAAGCTGCGGGGCTGCACACGGACCTACCCATTGTTTCCGAGCGTGGTTCCTCCTCTTGAAGTACAAGATGAGCTTCTTCCGCATCGCCTGGTTTCTGTGCGGGAGGGAAGCGCAGACAGTCAGCCGGGAGGCTCTGGCGCCAGCCCGCGCCGTCCTCTTTGCTGAGAGCGACCCCCAAATTTGCCCCGCTATTGGTTCTCAGGGAGGTAAGACCCGCCCGTACTGGACCCCTGGACAGACCCATGAGCTGCCAATGTGCGTCCCTCCTGCCCTGCACCCCAGGCCGCACCCCACCCCAACATGTAGGTCGAGCCCAGCGTGCAGACAGGAGGGCTCCCAGAGCCGGGGGCCTGAGCTGCCCGCCCCGCCACATGAGCCGGCAGCCACACCTGCCCAGGGAAAGGCTCACAGAGAAGTAGCCTCCGCCTCCGACCAGGAGTGCAGGCCGGAGCACAGCCCAAGACCTGCTGTGCCCACAGGGAGGGTGTCCGGGGGTGGCCTGGGTGGCCCCAGGGCTGGCTCCAACCCGGTGCAGTCAGCCTCCAGCACAGCCAGCCCTGCTGCGGCTGGAGGGGCACAGGAAGGGTGGGGGCACGTGGGGGACCACCAGGCTTGGACTTCAGGAAACCCCCCAGGGGGGCTCAGACTTCTCAGGCGGCGGCCATGGGCTCAACCAAGCAAGCTGCACACACCACTGCAGCTTCCCCGGGAAGCGGGAAGGTCCGGGGACACGGGAGGTTCACAGAGAGAGGGAGACGGACACCCAGGGAGAAAGGGAGAGAGACCCAGGGAGAGAGGGAGACAGAGACCCAGAGAAAGAGAGAGAGACAGAGGGAGATAGAGACCCAGGGAGAGAGGGAGACGGAGACCCAGAGAAAGAGAGAGAGACAGAGGGAGATAGAGACCCAGAGAGAGAGGGAGACAGAGACCCAGAGAAAGAGAGAGAGAGACAGAGGAAGATAGAGACCCAGGGAGAGAGGGAGACGGAGACCCAGAGAAAGAGAGAGAGACAGAGGGAGATAGAGACCCAGAGAGAGAGGGAGACAGAGACCCAGGGAGAGAGACAGAGACCCAGAAACCCAGGGAGAGAGGGAAACAGAGACCCAGGGAAAGACGGAGACAGAGACCCAGAGAGAGAGGGAGACAGAGACCCAGGGAGAGAGACAGAGACACAGGGAGAGAGGGAGACAGAGACCCAGAGAGAGAGACAGAGACCCAGAGAGAGACAGAGACCCAGGGAGAGAGACAGAGACCCAGAGAAAGAGAGACAGAGACCCAGAGAGAGACAGAGACCCAGAGAGAGAGAGACAGAGACCCATAGAGAGAGAGAGAGAGAGAGAGAGAGAGAGAGAGAGAGACAGAGAGACAGAGACCCAGGGAAGGAGGGAGACAGAGACACAGCAACACACAGAGAGAGATGGAGACCTAGAGAGATAGACAGAGACCCATAGAGAGACAGACAGAGACCCAGAAAAAGATATAGAGACCCAGAGAGAGAGACAGAGACCAGTATGAGAGAGACAGAGACCCAGAGAGAGAGAGAGAGAGAAAGAGAGAGACCCAGGGAGAGAGGGAGACAGAGAGACCCAGGGAAAGAGACAGAGACCCAGAGAGAGAGACAGGCAGAGACCTAGGGAGAGAGAGAGACAGAGACCCAGAGAGAGAGAGAGAGAGAGACCCATAGAGATAGATAGATAGATAGAGAGAGAGAGAGAGAGAGAGAGACCCAGGGAAAGAGGGAGACAGAGACACAGAGACGGAGAGAGAGAGAGAAAGAGAGAGATGGAGACCCAGAGAGACAGAGACCCAGAGAGAGACCCAGAGAGACAGAGACCCAGAGAGAGAGAGACAGACAGAGACCCAGAAAAAGAGATAGAGACATGGAGACCCAGAGAGAGACAGAGACCAGAATGAGAGAGACAGAGACCCAGAGAGAGAGAGAGGAGAGAGAGAGAGAGAGAGAGAGACAGAGGTGAAGAAGAGACAGAGACTGGGAGAAGGGAAGAGATGGAGAGAGACAGAGAGATGAGATCTAAGAAAGGGCGGAGGCCTGGAGATGGGCAGAAGGAGATGAGACCCAGAGACGAGACTGCAGGAGACAGGAGATGAAGAGGGTCAGAGACAGACAGCAGCAGCCAGAGACACCATCCAAAGGGGACAGAGACTCAGAGGAATGAAACTAGGAGAGGGAAAGACAGAGAGAAGCAGGGAAAGGGAGACAGTAACAACGTTCAAAGGAAGGGGACAGAGACCTCGAGACAGCCAAGGGAGGGACCCCCGGAGAGCAGGGTTTCCAGAGCCCCTGCCATGAGGGAAGACACCCCCGCCCGCTTGCCGCTGTGCCCAGATGCCCCTGCCCACTGCCGTACTCAGACCCCAGGATCGTCCTCTTCTCTCCCAGACCCTCCCTGCAGTCCCCACCACGCAAAGCGGGGTTTGCAGCTGGCCTTGAAGAGCCTGGAGCCACAGCCGCCTCAGGAGCCTGCTGTACACCTTAACTTGCTGCCCCCAAGCCAGGGCACGCAGTGGCACCCACTCTTCTGGGGAGGGGACTCCCGCCTTCTTCATATTCTCAGCAGTGTCCCCAACCCCTCAAAGCTCCAAAGCCACTGACTGGGAGCCACGTCTGTACAGCCCCCAGGACCCCAGCACCCTTGGAAACAGGAACAGGAGGGAACCCCAGGAACTGACAGACGAGCGAAGCCTCGTGGGGCTCGAGGGCCTGGAACCAGCCTCAGTCCCTGGGTCACTCTGGTGGTGCCTCAGCCAGGACTCCCCACCCCGGCCAGGGTGGGCCCCGGGGGTCCTCAGTCCCACAGGCAAGTACCAGCACCCTTCATCTCATAACAGGGTGTCCCTGGGCCTTGGGCCCACCTCGAAGCCCTCCGTTTCCTCATCTGAAATCGGTGGCATCACAGTTTCATCTTGCTGCTCAACAACCATTTAGTGAGCATCTACTACGTGCCAGGTGCTGGGGACATAGCAGGGCCAAGACACAGCTGAAGGCCCTCAGGTGCTGGGGACATAGCAGGGCCAAGACACAGCTGAAGGCCCTCAGGTGCTGGGGACATAGCAGGGCCAAGACACAGCTGAAGGCCCTCAGGTGCTGGGGACATAGCAGGGCCAAGACACAGCTGAAGGCCCTCACAGAGGTGACACGGACAGTCAGCACAATGGCCAAGATAACCCTGGATTCTGGAACTTAAACAGTGCTGGGGAGGGGTGTAGGGGCCATGGTGCAGAAAGGTGTCCCGGAGGAGATAGCCCTGAGCTCAGGCTGGGATCTACGCCAGCAGAAAGACTCAGCTCTGGGAAGATCCAAAAGGAAGGGAATCCTTCCGCAGGTGCGAAGGCTACAGGAAGAACAGACAGAAAGAAGACGGGCCAGCTGGGGAGGGGCGGAGAGGACGGAGGAGGCGCTGGGAGCAAGACCGGCAGGGCTGGTCCCGCAGGGTCCTGTGAGTTTCAACAGGGCAAAGGGTTTGGTCTTTTTTTTTTTTTTTCCCCCAAAAGGTAATCAGTTATTTAATTAGATTATTAGGAAATTTAAAACACCGATTTGTGAGGATAAATTCCACTTGTCAGGGCAAACACAGATCGCAGGTAGCCCTGGAGCTGAGGAATAGCTTTGATTTTTGGTAAAACTTGTGAGTCCACAGCTTTCGGATCAATCTCGTGCTGCTCTGTAATCTCGTCTTTCTCTTTTTCTGTGTGGAAGCTCTCACCTTCCTGGTGTCTGGGCTTCTGCAGCTGCTTCTTCTGGAAGTAAGCATCAGTAAGATGTTTTGGGATTTTTACACTGCTGATATCAATTTTGGTTGAGGTGGCAATGACAAATTTCTGGTGCGTTCTTTGCAGAGGAACTCGATTGAGGACCAGAGGTCCAGTCACAAGGAAGCTGCTTCAGGAAAACCAGCCTCTTGCCCTGTGTGTGGCGCCCAGTGAGGATGATCAGAATGGTCCCGGGGGCGATGCTGCCTCGCAGCTTTCTCACGTGCAGCCTGAGGGTTTTCGCCGTGGCTCAACAGCTTTCGAGGCACATGTTCAGCAGGATGATACCCAGCGTTCTGCGGAGTCTAACCACGCAGGTGCCGCCGTTTCTGTCACCACCAACTAGTTTCGTAACACTTGCAAAACCTTCTCCTTCTTCTTTTCAACCTTGGATTCAGCCGCTGAGCACTTCCTCTCGTACACGGCCTTTCTGGAATACCTGGCAGATCGGGAATGCCTGCCAATTCCTCTGACAAGAACAGGGCTGCGGCTGCAATGGGGCTTCCGTTCTCGGGCTTTTTAGCCTTGAGGTTGCCCTTTTTCACTCTGCCACCAACATCATGATGCCTTCTTGGCTTCCAGTTTCTTCTCTTTAGTATCTGGCTTCTCAACTTTTTCACCTGCCATCTTTTACACAAAAGACAGCTGTGACCGCCTAACAGCCGGGAGCGCAGCAGCACCCAGATCTCGGCGAATCCCGCCCTCCACCCCAGACCCCGTACCGCCTGGAGACGCTGCTGAGTCCAGGGCCCAGCCAGGAAGTTTGCAAGAAGAGCCCAGGGTGACTTGACGCCAAGAATTGCCAAAAACAAAAGAAAAACAATAGTCAAAAGGACACAACGCAGCCTGGAGGCTTCCAACTGCCAGAGCTGGGACAGCACAGTGACGACATAGTCACCCTGGGCCAGATGAGGCTCCAAAGAGTAAAACAAATACCCCCGAGTCTGTGTTATTATAAACACATGATTTAGCACATCAACAAGTGGCGGAGAAGGGACACATCCTTCTTCTAGAGCTCCAGTGAACGGGGGTCTGAGAACATCGGCATTAGAGCGCGGTCGTAACCCAAGAGCCGCTGGCAAGATCTGGGCTGAATGCGAAACTGGTTGGCAAAATTTTAAGGAGCAACAGGAAATTTGCATAGCCTCAAAGAATCTTCCCTCAAGTATGTATGAATCATGGAGGTAGCTTTAACTGACGCCCACAAATCTTTATATTTCTCCCTCCAAGAGGCGGAGCTTAACTCCCCTCCCCGGAAGGTGGGTGGGACTTGGTGACTCCCTTGTAAAGAACAGAGCAAAGCAGCGAAAACTCTAAGGGGAC